CAGAAATAGTCAAAGATGGTGACTAATCTTAAATTAGTCAAAATTTACGTAGTAAAAAATAACCAATGAAAAGTGAAAACGACTATTTTATTAGAAAAAAATTGAACCTACACCTCGCCAAACTTTTTTGTTTTGAGTGCGTTCCACCAACTTTAAATACCGACAAACAGCTGTTTCGACCTATATTGGGTCTCATCAGTGTCGGGAAACTTGGTGTAGGTTCAATTTTCTTCTTATGAACATTACCAGTAATGGATCAAGAAAGTGTCTTAAAGAAACTAATAAAATTGAATGTTTTATTACCAAAAAATGCTGGTACTAATTTAAATAGTAGAATTTTGACTTTTTCATTTTTAGAGAGCATTTAGAGAGCATTTAGAGCATTTAGAGCCATTTTCTTTCGTCATATAATCTCGAAGTGTATTAGGTTAACATCCCCAAAAATGTAAAATTAAATATAAGAAATTTTTATTTTTTTCAGGAATGTAATAAATGGTGGTATAATAATAATTAGAGGTTATCTCGAGAACGATTTTCTGGGTCTTTTACCGTTTGCACCTTGAATACATAATTGGCCTTTTTACCGGTATTTTAAATTACGTTTTGTGCTTGTGGCATAGAAGCCCTTACTTTAATTTAAAACTAAATTTAGCCTTATAAATCACCTTGATGTCCGCATTTAATTTATTCAGATTAACTATATAAATTTAATTTGAACAACACTTGATAAGTATTTTTTTATACTTCATCTTTAAAACATGTTTTCACTATCTAAAAATGAATTAGTCAAAAATGACTACATTTCAAAGTGATACAATATACATTCATTAAAAATTTCCATTTGTGTTATCATTGATTACTTTGTTTATAATTGTTTTTTGTTAAAAAACAGTACCTCTAATGCATACCTTTTTACTGACCTTTTGATTTTGCCAGCAGCATGGTCTTATGTAAGAGTAGTAAACTAGATAAAGCATAAAACAATCGCGTGGAGTGTCCATAAAACATTCTCTTTACTTTCCCTGTTAACAACTGCTTCTATATCGTATTTAAACGGTTGTTAGTCCATTTTTACTATATTTTTGTATTATATCTTATTCAAGATCAAAAACAAAATGGAACGAAAATTATTGATTTTTTACGACCCAACAAAAAAAAATCTTCCTTAATCACTGCAACAATAGTTGAGATAGCGTAGGATCAACAAGACATCATAAATAACTTATGCATATTTTTTGGACGGCTGTACAAAGTAATAAATATTAAAAAGTCGACTATATATATTTTCCCGAACAGTTCTCGGGCTATCTAAACACCATTGATGTCATTGGATTGTGGCTTTTATACCGGTTCAACATCTATCTAATCTAAAGTATGAATACTTGAATCTTTCTCACCCATCGCTCTGGTAATCAGGCTCGCCTCGCTCTCATATTCGGCGCGACGGGGGGCACAGGGGGGCGAGCACCCCCCTTAATATAACGCCGCCGACGCGAGATGGATGACAAAGTCAAAAGAAGCTATTATGACGTTAAGTGATGTAATCATAAAATATGCAATATCTCTCCATTGTCACTGTTGGGGTCGAAAAAATGATTGTCTTTGTTCCTCGAGATGTTTTAACTGGATTTGTTTTTCTAGTGCAGTAAGTGCCTTATTTATTAACATAATACAGTACGGTTAATATTTTGATTTATTATTTAAAATAAGTTTTTTAACTTATTATAAAGGCACTTTTTGGCCGAATGGCATACAACATTTTATCTTCAAAGCACTTTATTTAGGTCAATTTAATTCAACATCAAAGTGGCCTAACCTCAATTTTTTAGAATCTTATTCATTTATTAGCTAAAGATTACATTAATTGTACAATAAATATTATTGCTTTTAAAAGCAGTAATAGTTTGACAATACCTAGCAACATGATTTAATTAGAAATGGATTTTTGCTATTACATTGAATTCAATTAATTGTTTAATAAATAGGTAGGTATCTAATTTCAATTTGTTTGGATTTTTATTTAAAAAATAGGTAGTTTGGCTGTGTTTAACATTTAATTTTATGGAAAACTTAAAGCAAATTAAAACTTAAAGATAATTTAAATCGTAGAAAAAGAATCGTGCGTTTTCTTGGTTGCCTAACCTCACTTTTTGTTTTATTATTCATATTTAATTTTACAATAATTTAATGAAAAATATTAAACATTAACAGTAAAACAAACAAATTAGTGCTTATTATAACTAAATTAAACCAGTTTAGTACGTTAAATTCTTAGAAAAGGATTAATTGGTCAAAACAAGTCCCCTAGCGAGAAAAAATCGAACTAATTACTTGCCTCATAAAATTTGTTGTCGGCCTAGGCATCGAATGATGACAACAATAAAGTTTAAATTATAGACCGCGTGGAGATAAAATCATGTTATTAACTCTTTTATTTTTGTTTTAGATAATAATAAAATAATTTTTACATTTTGTATTATTTTAAAGATTGTATTACATTTGACAACTGTCAACTAACTTAAAACTAACTTCAGCCCGTGACTAAAAACCTGTTGCTCATTTCAGCCCGTGACTAAAACGCCATAACATACAGTGTGTATTTAAAATGTCACTTAGTGTCATGGAAACATGTACGAGAATAAGTTTTTTAAGTTAAATGTATTAAATTACCAATAATCACTAAAGACCGGATTCTATGCAAAACTTACATAATCAATTTAAGTGCATATTTTGATTTGGACATTTTTTAAAAATTTATTTAATTATTAAAAGTACTAAAGGGTTTCCAAGTTTGCTAAAACTCTAAATATTGTATGTAGTTTGTAAAATGATAGAATTAAAAAATTAAAATACAAGCGTTTTGTAATTTTAAGTAAGATTTTTGTTAAAAAAAATTAAGTTGTTTTGGTAGTTTTGACTTTTATTGTTTTTAAGGGATTAATTTTTGTGTTTATACCAATTTTGTCTAACTGTTTTAACTTTTATTTGTGCATAAAAGTCCGGTCTATACCAACCACAGCATTTGTTTATTTTGTTATCTACAATATCGACATTTCAAGTGCATAAGAGTCCGGTCAATGCAAATGAATTTTTTTAAATAAAATATTAAACCCTTTCATGTTTTATAAATAGAGATGGGAGTTTAGATTTATTAACTATTTGTCTAAGCTAATCATAACTAAAGGTACAATGGAATAAAATCCGTTTTGAAATTTTATTTTACCCATTTTACCTAAATTTTAATTTTTTTGAGAAATTGACCATAAAATTTTACCACCTAACCTATTTTACCTAAATTCCTATTTTTAATAGAAATGAAATTTTTAATTTGTAACATGCTTTTTTGTAAAATTGGGGTTGTTATATTTGGTTGACATAATTCATATATACTATGTATACAACTATAGTTATTAACATAGTGGGGTATTGGGAATCGCGAACTAAAGTCTATTCAAATCCAAGCTGGACTAAATGTAAACATAATCCTCAGAATGGACCAATAAGAGCTCACAATCCGAGTCACGCCATCAGAATCAACCAATAGAAACGAGTTATCACGCGTCTGGGCGTTTTTGTTTAGTCCAGCTTAGATTTAAATAGACTAAAAATGACGCGAGTGACGTGAATGTGCAATGTTGCATTTTTACAAATTCTGTCAAATTTTCGCTTCTTCATGAGATAGTTATTTATGTATCAAGGCAGTAAAGTCGTATTTTTTATCACGAATGTGGAAATCATGTGAGTGATAAAAAATGACTGTAATGCCGAGGTAAAGTTCTACTTTACTGCCGATTTCGGATAAGAGTATTTTTTTAAACATTTCTATCATAATACACTTGAATTTTTAAGTTAAATTGTATGCTCATTTACAAAAAGATTTTGTGCAGCTGCCTTAAAAAAATGTAAAATTCATAATGGTATTATTAAGTTTTTTTCAATTCATAAAAATCTTGTTCAGTAAATATTTACACAATAATTTCGAAAATAACGTACCTAATTTAAGAATTTTCTCACCTAAAACAAGAAAAAAGTTTACCTATTTGGGTACATATTTTTAGAAATAATGCAACCCTAAAATCCCATCTCTATTTCTCAAACTAGTATTAATTTTGCTTTTTAAAACTTAATTTTTAGCTTTCGCACGTTTGGCAAACAATTTTAAAAAACAACAAGTTGTATCTACAAAATAAAAAAAACACAACTGGATTTAAATTATTAAAGGTAGTCTAACACGACTAGTCTTCCAGGTCACGTAAAATCAACTCTTTTTGCTGTCGTCGAGGCTAACTAACAGGCTTTCGGTGGAATGCAAACCCACCCTAATAAAGTCCATGTAGGAACTCACCCTCTTTTTACCTGTCAGGGGTGCACATACATACGCAGATCCGCCGTGTTGCGTTTGAAATCCTAAAACAACCGTTGAAATTCAGTTTTTTAGCAGCCATGGGACGAAGAAAATCAAATCGCAAGCCCCCGCCCAGAAAGAAAAACATTGTACCTCTGGACATCCAATTCAATTGTCCATTTTGTAACCATGATAAGTCCTGTGATGTGCAAATGTAAGTGAACTAGACTAAAGACAAGCTTTGTTTTTTTGTATTCGATTCTTTGTTATGGACGTATCAATAGAGTAAATTAAACTGGGGAATTTGTAAAGGAAAATAAAGAACAAACGTATGTATATGTAGAACACATTATTCGGACCAGCCATTCTACTCTTGTGGGTATTGAAATATGTCTCCGTTCATTGATAACATTGTTTATACTAGTGAAAAAAAATAAAAACAAAACTAATTTAAAAAAAAAATCAGTGGGTTAAAAGTGCTAAATAATTTGAATAATAGAATATTTTTTCCTAATTCAAAGACTCATTAAAACTTTAATTAAATCTCGAAATTTATTGTATTTATTGTACATTCCAATAGATTTACAAAACGTACTCCCACAATAAATTAATAAAAATTACTTATATACAAAATTCACACTTAATTTAATTTATTTCAATTCAAAACTCTATATTTTCTAACTCTCCTCCATTGTCCACTTCTGTAATCCATTTGAAAATATATTTGTTCGACCACTTTGACACCATTTTTGGATTCGGTTACGGGTATTTCTGTTTCTGATAATGCAATGGTTACCAGTGGGCCAAAATGTGGACTGGGATTTTCTCTGTTTCCACATAAAAAACCCAGAATCTGAGCCTTTTGAGGTCTAGTTACTTTACCAGCATTCTCCAATATCGTTTTTGCTAGATTTCTTATTTCCTTGGTGATTTTTCGCTTTTGCATTACTCCTGGAAGTGATACAGGTGGCAGCACTTGCTGTGGGGTATTTTCAGAACTTGCACAAATAACTTCTGCTACCTTTGGAATGTCGTTCAAATTTTTTGGTCTTTTCTGTTTTTTAGAAGATGGTGGTGGTGTAAGTAAAGAATTTGTGAAATTTGTTAGATCGTCTAAAGGTCTTGGTGTTTTGGCACCATCAACAGTATCTGAGGAACTATCCTCAAGGCTATAAGGAGAGTAGGCCACAGAAGAATATTTTAAATCCATTGAGATATTCTCCTTTTTCTGGAAGTTATTTATTTCATCAAAGTGTCTAGAATTTTCATTAAAGGATGTTCTACTTCGATTACTTATTCCCTGTGCTTTTATTAATAGTTGCTCTCTTAGGGTATAAGCCTTTGTTTTCTTTTTAATGGTAAAGTGTTTTTCTGGTTTACTAATGTTTATGCTTAGTGAGTCCAAGCATTGTTTGTTCATATACTGACATTCTTTTGGTAGTATTTCGTTGTTAACATTCTTTAAATCTTCCCTTACTGCACTTATGATACCTTTGATGCTATCTGGAAATTCTTCATATATTTCCAGGTTGAATTCTCCATACGTAACAAAGTTCCTCAGCAGACTTCCCAAACTTGACACCCATATTTCAAAGTCGTCTATAGCCAAATCGATAATTTTCAATATTAAATAGTCCCATAGCCTTAATTTGTCCACATCCAGGTTTAAAAATGACACTAATATTTTAATCTTTACATGGTTATCTAAATACTCAAAGCCACTTTCCAATTCTTTTAATTTTTCTTCACTTAACGTTAAGGAAATATTCTCCACATTCCAATGATCTTTATTGGATTGTTGTTGAAGCCGTATAGAAGGCAAGTCGCAGTTGTAGGTTTCGCACATATTGTTCACTTGAATGCTATTGAAACACATTTGTCGGGTAATTTTAAGGATTTCGCTTGTATACCTAAGATGTTTGGGAAATTGGATAGTGTTTAGTTAATACTGTTGCAAACAAATTAGTGGGATTATAAAAATATTTTACACAAATTGGTGTAGGTATAATTGAAAGAAAAATAGTTTTTAGTACAAAATGAAAGTTATTATTTTATGTTATTTATAGAGAAGCTCTGAATTAAATACAGGTAAAAAAATAAGTAATGATATAGTTTTAAGGTAAATGGTTTTAATAACATCTTTTGTGTTTATTACATAAGTCATTGTTGTTTTAAAAACAAAATCTGAAAATTGCATTTTGAAAAGGTACTCTGAATACACATTTTTTGTTGGGTTTGGTATGTAAACAACTCAAACATTAAAAATTTGTGTATTGTTTTAAATGTTTCACACGTAACACCCGTCTTCATCATTTAATACATACCCCAAGTAGCACAATTGGTTAAATTAACGTTATGTTAAGTAAATTTAACTTCTTGGTTAATGCACCTGTCGGTTAAAAAAAGTTAATATTTGGTAATTTTTGGTTAATTTTACCCTTTTTTGACTGCTTTTTAACTCTTTAGTCAACTTAAACTAAAGTGAAAAAACCAACCATTTTAAGTTTATTTTAACTTAATATAATTATAATGTGCCAAGTAGGTATATTATACTACACCAAGTATGCATAGATTTTTGAGTCTTAAGATTTTAAACAAAATTTCTTCCCTGAATATTAATATCTTCAATTTAATATTTAAAAGAGGTAGTTCTAGGAGAAAAACCAATGGGGCATTTTTTCTGATGAAATGGCTCATAATACTTTTATATTTTAAACGCGCTCAAAAAAGAATAAGATATAAAGAAAATAAAAATTTTTTGCTTATTTATTTTTTATTTTACTTAAAATTGATTTAAAATACTTTCAAACATAAAATAATACTATTTTTTATTATTGGTTTATTTAAATTAACTTATTTAAAAAAAAAAATCAAAAATAAAAATTAATGGCATTTCCTTTTGTAAAATGAACAGCAAGCAATATGGCGATTATAGGACGCTTTTACTAATTGGTTATTTAACCAATATAAATTAACCTGCAAGTTTATTTAAACCATTTAGTTATTTTCTTGTGTTTAAGTTAACTAATTTATAACTCTTTGGTTTTGGTTTCAATTTGGTTACATTTGGTTACATTTAACACATTATAGTTAGTTTCTGGTACCTATTTAAGTTCCTAACATGTTAAGTATTCCTAACATAGTACCTACATATTTTTCTATGTAGGTAACAATGAAAACTGCAAAACCATCACTTTTTTAACGAGTTGGTTGATTAACGTTAATTTACCATTTAATTAAAATACATTTGGTAGAATGCAACTTGTTGGTTAAAAAATATAGTCAAATTAACCAAAACTGTGGTTAACTTACCTAAAGGTTCAATTTATAGTTAAAATGAACCAAAATATAACAAGAAAATTAACTACTCTTTACCAGTTTTATTGGTTAAAATTTAAAGTTAATATATACGTTATATAACGTTAAAATAACCTACTTATTAACTAAGGTAAATTAAGGTTATTTTAAAAGTTACAATTAACTAAAAATTAACCATTTAAGTATTGTTTCAATCATCAGTTAGTTTTAAAGTTAAATTATAGTAAAAATAACTTTTAAATTAACTCTTAAGTAATAGCAACTAGTTGGTAAATTGAAAGGTTTTTTTTTTAGTTTATTATAACCGTAAAAAAACTAATTCAACTAATTGGTTAAAAAACCAAGTTAATAAAAACGTCATTTAACTTAGATTTCGGTTAATTTACTTATTATACTAGTTATTTAACCGTTTGTGCTACTTGGTACCTTTCTGAAGGATGGGCTAAATTCAAATTTGACTTTTTTTAGTTTATTAGTGTTATTATCATGCAAAATTACGCAATGAGTATTCTTTAAATTAGGTTTGTATTTTGCAGGGATAAAGGAAGGAATACAGCAAAAATTTCATGCAGAGTTTGCTTGGAAGATTTTCAGACGAAAATCAACATTTTATCAGAGCCACTGGACGTTTACAATGATTGGATAGATGCTTGCGAATCTGCCAACTAAGATATTTCACGTTGATGCATTTTTATCGATTTTCACAATATTATTACAAAATATCTTTGTGTCTATATGCTTGATTTTGTATGCATACATACATATATGTATTTGATTAAAATTCTTATAAATTCAATCCGGTTTTTCAATCATAGTAAAAACCATAATATTTTTATTATTTATATCTATTATTCTTGTTTTTATGTTTGCCGAAATCACATAACTCGAACAACATACACTTTTCATAAAACTTTCGATAAGAACTACTCGAAGCAAATATATGGGTCGTATATAAATTTTAGAGGGCCTTATCATGCTGACAGAAATAAAAATGCAAGATATATAATTCATTGAGACTAAGATATGGACAAAGTTTATCATCATTTGCATTTTCGCATTTAAATTTTACTTTGGCGCGACGATTTTAAGAAACATGTTTGTAAATTAGTTAGTTAAGGAATGAACAAACAAAATTAAATTATGTAAGCTACGCTATTTTAAATTTTAAGTTGGGTATTAGGTGTGAATGTTGCAGTTTGCATACATACATGTTAAAATTTTATTTTTGCTGCAAAGTTTATTAATAAAAATAATTTGTATGAACTATACAGGGCTTTCAATTAAAAACTAGCTTTTGATTAAAAACAATCTTTGTGTCATATATAATGAAGAGAATATATTCTTTAAAATAGTATTTTAGTATTTTCTTAATTCACGTTGATTTACTTCAAGAATGTTTTCTTAATGTGAGCAAGAATATATAATTTTTGAAATAAGACAGCAATATTTCCTTAATTCAAGAAAATGTATTTTCTTTAACCAAATAATTGGTTGTTATAAAGCAAGAATATGTTCTTTTAAAAATAAATTAGTGGTATTCTTAAATAAAAAAGATACTTACTTAATTCAAGAATAAATTTTCTTAAAACAAAAACATGTGATATTGAAATAAAGCAATAATTTTCTTAAATCAAGATGTTTTCTATAACCCAATATTTTTTTAATTAATAGATACAAGATTTAAAATTTTATTTCATTGATTACAAAATAATATTTATTTTAAAACAATGCAAGAAGTATCGTTAAAAATAAAATTTATCTATCTTAATTTTAAGCTACTTTTAGCAATTAGCAATCATTTTGTATTTAAAATCAATAAAATTTTAAATAATGATACGTCTATTAACTAAAAATTATTTATTTTAATAATAAAAACATCTTTATATTTAGGAATATTACTGCAAAAGAAATAAAATTTTAAAAAAATACGTCCAAACACTTGAAGGGCACTGGAGTAATTTTAAATATCCTGTAATTTCTTAAGGATTGTTGTCTAATCTTAAACAAAACTTTATATTTAAGTACTTACGGATTATTCAAAATTGAACCAAACTTTCTGAAGGGCCAAAGTATACGTATACGTTGTATCGTTTCTAGGTGGTGCAGTAAGCAAAAAAATTTAGGTTAGAAAATAAAATAACAAACTTTGAACAAACACATTTATTTTGTTTTAATACATGAAAAATCTAAAATGTATACATTATTATAAATTAACGTAGGGAACTTTATCATTATTATCGACATATTTTTCATTTTAAATAATTTGTAATATTTTAGGGATAGTAGAAAAGCAATTACCAATTTTATAAAATAATTTAGGGCTATTGCCAATGAACTCCACACTATATGAATCAAAATTAATGTTATACCCCAAAGTGTGTAGGTAACAAAATTACTTCTAAAACAAAATCTTTTGAAATGTCATAAAATAAATTAGGTTTATTAACTTAAAATTATAGAGCCATACAAATCAGAGTGTTAAACACATAAGATATTTTGGTTATCACTGCAAAGCCTATTATATATATTTATGAATAAAATAATTTTAAGGCATCCTTAATCCATATTAGTAAACATTTAAACAATAAACCTACCTACACGTAAATGCGACGCTAAATTTAAAAAAGGATGGTATATCAATGATTAGGCATAACATTTCAGAGGAACGTGTCGGCATCTCCACTCCTACAGAATTTCAAAAATATTTATTCTTGGCAAAAGAAAATAATGTTTATAAAAATTTAAGAATATCTAATTAAACAAATAAAAAAATAAGAATATCGTTTTCTTGATATACAAAAATATTAACAATTGTACCAAGAAACCAACTAAGATTTTCATCAAGAATATTTAATATTTGGATTGAAACATGCAACTTTTTAAAACAAGAAATGTTAGGAAATATTAGAAGTTATTTTTTGTTGAAATATATATTCTTATTTTAAAGCAAGTTGACTTAAGTCAATTCAATTTAATTAAAATTTTAAGATGATAGGTTTCCTTGATATAAGTAATGATTTTTTCAGTGTATTTACACTGAGAAAAATGAATTTGTTAAATCAAAAGTATCGTCAAAAAATGCAACAATGAAGTGTCCATAGCTTGTAAAATAAAAATAACCATATGCTACCAATTTAATTTGAAATCGATACGATCAGTTTTGGTCATAAATAAGGCTATTGTATACGATTGTATGGATGTAGTGGTAGTTACTTTTTTTCAAGTAGTAAAGCACTTTATATTATGAACTTTCTTTTAACATCGCCATAGATCACGGCAGTTTTGTAGTTGGATATCTGTGTCGATAACAATAAAGATATAAAACGCACCTGACCCTCCGTAGGGTAGAAATATAGCCATTAGTATTCCACCTATTATTAACTGTTTCGAGCCTTCGACAATATTTCTTTTATAAATCGTCGGCGCATTGATAAATTGTTTATATTTAATTCAGGAATTTCAGTGCCTCCGAAAACCCTCAGGTGGGTTATAAAGAATACCTTTATGCAGTGGCAGATAAACTACCAT